GCTCAGAACTCACTGCCCCCACCTGGCCACAGTGCCCCTGCTTGGGACAGGTCACAGCCACTCCTGCGGTCCTCCCAACTGTCATAAAGGCTGGTGACCTCACAGTTGGCTTGAGAGCAGGCACAGGGAAGCTGCAGGTGGGGAGGTCATTCCCCACCTCGCTGGTGTCCAGTGTATGAGCCCTGGGCAGCACTGACCAGGCCTCCAGCAAACCTGAGGTGTCCACCCCTCCTGCCCAGAGCTGGCCCCGCTCCCCAAGCCTAGCTGCCCAGGCCCAGCCCCAGAGGCTCCTGGCCCTTGAAGGCCATGCCCCATCCAGAGGCCATGGGACAGGACGGAGCTCCGGCCACAGGGGAGTCCCTCCGGGCACCCAGCCTCAGGCCTGGACACACAGACTAAGAGCCCAACCACAGTGCCCCTTCCCAGGGTCCCAGTCCTCGCCCCCTCGCCCCCCCAGCCCCTCCATTTTCCACTGGACAGGGACAGGGATGTACCAGGACCCCCTCGGTGGGGAGGGGGTGTGCAGAGGATCTGGAGCTGAGCTGATCCCCCACAAGCTCCAGGACCCCACCCGCTCCCCTGGCAGCTCCAGGCAGCGTGGCAGGGCCAGGGTAGACAGTGTGCCTGGGTGCAGGGAAGGGGCTGGGCAGCTGCAGGAGGAGGGGCGCTCAGCAGATGACCCGCCCCCACCCCACCCTGCCCGGCACAGGGGAGACTCTGCATGGGTCCCTCTCGGTGCGAATACCTCCAGTGGCTCAGGCCGGACCCAAAAGCTCCTGTGTGAGCCTCTGCTCCCCAGCCCTCAGGGGTCCCCTGCCACAGCACCCCAGTGAAGCCCGAACACCAGGCCTGGGCTCAGGCTGCCACTCCAATCCAGGGCACCTTTGCCACAGGGTCCATGCACCACGGGGCTCCTTCCGGNAGGCTGCCACTCCAATCCAGGGCACCTTTGCCACAGGGTCCATGCACCACAGGGCTCCTTCCGACACGGGACCAGGCTGAAAATGCCCGAAAAACCCAAACGTACTGGGACTCGGGGCCTCCNGGGCTCCTTCCGGCACGGGACCAGGCTGAAAATGCCCGAAAAACCCAAACGTACTGGGACTCGGGGCCTCCAGAGCTCAGGAGACGCGTCCAGCAAGGACGGAGCCTGCCCCGCCTACAAGGCCAAAGACCACGGAGGTGTGCTGAGCCCCCAACAGGCCAGGAGGTTTCTGGTCCTGCCTGTGTCACCGTGGTACAGTAGCAGCTGGTACCACAGTGAGACTCACTCGGCCAGAAACCCTCCCCGGGAAGTGGCCGAGCAGCCAAGCCTGCCCTCGGGGCCTGAGGGCAGCGCCCCCTTCCAGCCAGGAGATGCCCCACGCTCTCACCCTCCATCCCCAGGGGACTCCACAGCCTAAGGAGGGGTCCCGGGCCAGACAGGGGCCTCCGCGGCCTAGGCGGGGCCCCTACACAGCCAGGCGCAATGTCCACACCACCCCGGGTCCTGGCAGAATTTGTGCGAGCCTCAGACAGTGTGGGATATAGCAGCGGCTGGGGCTCACAGTGCCACAGGCCACTCATAAAACCTGCCCGTGGCCACCCAGAGCCCACCCCTGCTGGTCCAGCCCTGCCCAACAGGAAACTGCTCCCGGAAGCCCAGTCCCCACCTCAGAGGCCCCCAGGCCAGGACCCAACGAGGGGATTCTGAGCAGCCCTGAGTCACAGTGGGTATAGTGGGAACTACCACTGTGAGACAGGCTGTAACTCGAACTGCCCAGGGCCTTCGGGGAGCCAGCGCCCGGCCGGAGGTCAGAGATGGAGCCCGGCTGCTGGCCAGGCAGTCACAGGCTCCATGGGCAACCCCCACAGCCTGGGATGCCCCTCGATGTCCCACTCCACGCTGAGGGAGGGAGCTGGGCTGGTCAGTGGAGGGCTGCGTCCTGTCCTCACCCTCCTGAGGCAGCTCCGGGGACCCTGGCCCCAAACGTCCACCCAGACCACAGACCTCCTAAGCGAGGCCTTTCGCCAGGGCTGGCTGGGCAGGAGCTCACAGAGGGCTCACGGGGTCTCAGCTCTTTCAGAAAGCCAGGCCAGGCGGCCAGCACACAGCTGACACTCAGCGGTCAGCAGAGCCCACGGCCCTCCCCTCGTGGGGGACAGCCACCCAGGTGGAGTCCTCCATGGAGCCCCCATGACACAGCCCCTCCCAGGTCCACACCGGGCAGCAAGTGCCCCAGCCCACAGCTGGACCCCAGCAGCCAGTGCACACCCCTTCACAAGTGTGTCTCCTGTGAATCCCCTGTCCCTAGACAGTCCAGAGCCCCAGGCGGGGGCTCAGGGCCGCACTCACCGGGCTCCCTTCCTGGCCAAAGGTGCCCAGGGGCCAGGTCCCAGCGGGGGAGCGCTGGTCACCTGTTGGGCAGTGGAGCCCCAGACCACCTGTTCTCCATCGGTGACCGAGAGGGCCTGGCCACCCAGCCTTCAGGAAGCAGATAAGCTCCGGCCCAGCTCCGGTCTCCAAACCACTAACCCTGGTGGTTCCTGCCCACACATCCTCTCACAACACAGCCCAGAGGTTTTCAAATTCTTTTAACGTAAAGCTGGGGTCATGCTGGGTGGATTCTCTGCAATTTGCTTTTTCTGGTCAACGATATATTTCTTCACGCGCTTCGGATGCCACGCTGTTAGACACAAAATAAGACCCAAGAACTTTATGGCCAACACAATAGTCGTTCAAATATATTGTCCACATGAATGAACTCGGATTGGCTCCCACGTCCTTCTTTAGGGAGTAAACTTATACACATTTACACTTGTTAATATTTAATTATAGTAAATATAATTTTACCTTTAGTGGTCAATGTTATACATAGTCACTATTGAACATGTGTGTCCATGTGCATATGTCTATATACATGTATTCAATATTTTATGTGTATAAAATGGACTACTGCAAGTAAAATTATTTATCTGAACAAAGGTAGGCTTTATCCAACCAAGATGGAAATGGAAATAGACTCCCAACACAAAAGACCCACCACTTAGAGTAAAACTTGGAGCCCGCGCTCTGGGCATCTGATGTGTGTGCAGAGAGACGTGAGCTCAGGCCGATGGAGCCGCCGTGGTGCCCACGAGGC